AATTATAAAATATAATATAGAGCTAAAAATAAATATATACTAATATAGGAAAAAAAATAAATTCTATTACAGTATATTCAGCTAATAGTTGCTTTACAGCTACTAAAGGTAATCATGAAAAGAGTATACAATTAGTTACTTATACAACTTTAGTTATTGTTTAATTTTTTTTTTGCTTTTGCTAAGGTCATTAATTATCAGTAACTATCATCTTTATTGTGAATTTAATTATGATTATATAACTTGTACAAGATGATCTCTATACTATACTAGCAGATAATATACAAGTTTTTATACACCTAAGTGGTGTTGTTTAATCTAATCTTGACCTCTGTCTATATATCTATTAAGCTGTTACATATTTCAAAGTATATCACCTAACTATAAAACTTTAAAAGACTTTTTTGCTAACTAACTAACTATATTTAATCTTTGCTAACAAGGCTTATCTTTGTAAAGTTTATCCAAACTTCAGTACCAACTTTACAACATATACCTAATACTTAGTTATATCCTGTTTTGGTCTTTAAACTTTTAATTCAGATAGCCTAAAAGAACTATGACCTATTCTTGGTATCTCAAAGGTTTGTCTTTTCAAGTTTCTTTTTTTCTAATTTGAGACTTCTAGCATCTAGTTGGTGGTATTTCTTATCTGAAGTTTTTGTCTGCCTAATTTTTTTCATATTGATACTCATTTTTTAAATCTAGCTTTTACAGTAATACCATCAAAGATCTATACTATCTTTTTACTTGAGTCTTTTCAAATAGGTTCTGGTTTTTCAGTTCTATAAATTTATATAACTACTGAACTTATCTTAGGTTTGTACTGTTTAATGCCAGTTTGCATCTCTCTGTATAATTCTAATATTGCACAGATGCTCTATGATCTGCCAATCATATTAGTATAACTATAGTTATAAGTATCTTATTTCAACTAATCAACAAAATGCTATTATCATAATACTACCTATATATGATATAGAAGATTATTCAAATTTTTATCATTAGTAAGTAGTTTTTGTATTTATTCACTTATCTATACTTATCAAGATGCTCTAGTTAATATTGATGCAAATATATTATAGTCACTAAATCTTTAAAATAATTTACTTATATAGAAAAACTTTAACCTTGTATTAAACCTTTTAGAAACTTCTGTATTTCTTTCTTACAACTGATTTAATATTGTTATGATTGAGACTAATATTTGTAATCAGAATATATCATTAAATCACTATGATCTTATAGAGTTTATTTTAATCTCAGTACTGACTTCACAACATATTTCTACTATTTTGATATTTAATTCAAGTTCTATCAAGCTGTCAACTTAGATAATCCAGAAAGATAAGTTATAACTATACATCTCTAGTTTACATGTTCTTTAGCATGTAACCTTTTTTTCCAAAATTCAGAAATTCCAACAGCCTAGTTGGTTCATCTGATTTATTCTCAAAAACCAACATATTTGTTTAATTTCACAAGTTCTAACTCTGTTTTATAAGTTTAATCTTTACAATAATACTGTTAAAAGTTTGAGTTACTTTTCTACTTAGGTCTTCCAAATAAACTTCTGTTTTTCTATCTAATTCTTGTGATTTACATGATCTATGAACTTATTATATATTTACATTGCTTGGTACCAATTTGTGTTCCTTTATACAACATTGTATGAATATCTAGACCTTCTAATCATGCTGATATAACACAGGAATTCTATATATTTAAAATGATTAAACTTTATATTTCTTTAAAAAAATAGATTGACTTGTTATCAAAACATTAAAATAATAATATAAAATTCACAAGTAACTTAATAACCAAGTTCAATCTAAAATATTTAATATTTTTAAAATAATAAGATGCAAAAAAAAAAATAACAAAACCTTATAAGATTATTTAAAAACATTATCTTTTAAATAATCTAATAATTAAAAGTTACTTAATTAGTTTCTCAAGTGTAAATATTTTTTATTCCATCAAGTAAAATACTTACCCTAATTATAAGTTAAAAAAACATTAAAGTCATTCTAAAAGATAGTTTAATGTTAACAAAAAACTTTCACATTATCACCCTAACTTGCTTTAGTACTATAATATAAAAATTTGTTATTTATTGACACTATTAAAAAAACTGCTAAGTTAATTATAATCTCTAAACCATTAACAGAATTACTAGCAACTGTTAACTCAAACAAGTACGAAACTAAATAGCTTTAGTAAGATAATATATAAAGTTTTATAATCATCCACTACTCAAAAACAGAAAACAACTACGAGACTAAGAACTTTAGTATAATAATATATCAGATACGAAATTTTATGATCACCTCGGAGCTAAGTAGCTTTAGTAGAATAATATACTTTGCATAAAGTTTTTATGATTTTTGATTGGTCAATGAGGTTTGAGATATGCAATAATGAAAAGACACCCGGTTCGGGTTTTGAATTGGTTTTGGGATCATGATAATGGTCGACTCCCGAACCCAAATTAGGTATAAACCCCATATTGTTCCATTCGGGTTTGGTTTACATCCCTAGTTAGAGTTGGTTTGATTTTTTTGGAGTGTAACTTAGAACACCCGTATCATTTAATTAGCCAGTTTTTGGAATAATGTATGCATAGGTGTAAAACGCAATAGATGCGTTTAATTTTATAAATTTTACAATTTTAATTAGATAGTTGTTAAGATATCTTTAATTTTTTTTTAGCATTTGCTGGCTTCCATTGGAACCAATGTCAATGGAGCTGTTCTCATTCACCTATATGGACAAGATGTGCCAACCTTGCTATATCACTGATAAAAATTTGGCTACCAAGAGTTATCGCGAAATGCATTCTCTACAGACAGTACCTGCGGTTAAGATTCATAGGATGACATTCGTCTGATTGGCTAATTCGAACCAATTATCTGGGTAACATTCTAAGACCAAAATTGAATAAAGCTCTTCGCATGCTATTTAACTTTATTTCAATCTAAACTTTTTAATACGGTTATCTTGATAATTATATCTTTATAACTTTATTTTGGGGATAGATACATGTGGTATTAACGTATATAAACCCAAGATACTGATGAAATCATTTGCATAAGGTAGCAATGGTCAAAAAATAATGTGTCGTTATTTCGTTATTGAATTTTTTTGATTAATTTGATTGGTCTATGATCACGTTTTGATCTACAAATCCTATTTCGTGTTATTCTATTCTATCCTCATGTGAACCATTCGTATCGATATTTGAATTTCAGTAACATGATGATACAAAATTAATATAAGCAGAAGTGTGAAATATATTCACATCAGAAACTGAATTTAAAATTTAAAATAAATATAAAAAAAATATTATACAAAGAATTTAATAATGATTATTAAACGAATTGTTTTATAAACAAATTTTTAACGTGTCTAAATAAACATGATTTAATTTGTTACTACGAAGATTTGAGTCTTTAAGAATTACATGGAAGAAAAATCATGTAAGAACGAGAAATTCGATTAAGAAAAAAAAAAGAAAAAGGAAATAAAAGGAAATTATAAGATTATTAATGAGAAGATTTATGGATAAAATAGCCATTGTGAAGAATGTTCAAAAGCTATTATACGTGTAGAAACATGCAAAAATAAAAGAAAAAAAATATACAAAAATTTTATCACTCATTAATTTCATGAGCAATAATTTCTTCAAATTGAGCAACAAGTTGTGGCCAAGGGTCCAAAAGTTCATAAATAGAAATGTCCCATTCAACATCGTCCATTTCGGATCTTGGACAAAGTAAAATTCTTTTGAATTCATCGTAAAGTGTTGTTGGTTTCGACACAGAATTATTGCTATTAACTATCATATCATTTTCAGACTGAAGAGGTATATCATCAGTCAAATGATTTCCACCTAAAAAGCTACCTTTACGGTGTCTTTCACGACTCAAAATTTGATGGGCATTTTCAAAAAATTGAGGATAAGATTTTTCAAGATATTCCAAGGACTTTGGATAGTCACGTATAGAAGCGATATCCATATCACCAATCGGATTATCAGTTCCACAAGTGTAAACTGAAGAATCATCATCTAAATCATTTTCGTCAATATTATCATTTTCCTCATCATGATCGTAGTACCCGACAATTACTTTGAATTGAACCAAAAGTTGAGGACTTAATAATTCAGAGATTGTGTTCATCCAATCAAAATCTGGAATTTGTCCACGTGGTGAAAATAGAACGTCGAGAAATTCTTGCCAACGATCATTGGAGGAGAAGGCGGTTTGTTTGACAAAATCAAAATAATCTTGATTACGAACGAAAAGATCTTTAATTTCTACTTTACGGTCCACGAGAGCAACCAAAATATCAGAATTTAAATCTCGAACAGAGATGTCAATTGAGGATGCAGTCGGTGAATCCAAGAAAAATTCATCAATGGGAGTGGAAACGATGGTAGAATCATCGTCAGCTCCTATTAAAAGCGCTAAAGGCGAACCATTTTGAGAATTATCAAGTCCTTCAGGGATATTGAAACCAACAGACCGTTTTTCATTAGGCGAGACCTTGGGAAGGTTGATATGAATTTTTGATGGTTTATTAACAAGTTTCGACGCAACCGGATTTATGGAATCCGCTGGTTTTGTCTCTTTCACGAAAGGAATATCACGCGGCTCAGTTACGGTTTCCATTGTCTATAATAATTTTTGAAATAGATAAATAAAAGTAATAAATAACAAAAGACGTAGATAATAAATAATTAGAAACGTGACCAAAACAAATGATACAATACCATGAGAGATAAAGCGTTGAACAGTGAAATGAAACCAAAAGTTAACTATGAAAATTTTTATCGAGAAAAGTAACATAAAAATGAAGAGTTCTTTGGTCTTTATTCAATCCTACTTTATGGTATGTAAGAAAAAAGCAAGATAGATAAGTGGGCGCTTTAATTGCAACACGTACGTAATTTTTATACGTATTAGCATTAGCTATCAATAAAGTTGCATGCCACTTTTTTGAAAATCACAAATGTACGACGGACAGTCATCGCAGTACTTATTGTGATCACTCAAAAGACCTAATTTGGAAACACTATTTTTTTAATGAAACATTTTTTTGTCCTTATGTCCGTTAAAAAACGCCATAGTTCAAAAACAATTATTTCTTTCAAATTTCTTTACAATAATTGATGGTCTTTATAACGTTAATATTTGACTTACCAATTGTGACAAGTTTAACAAGTTTTCCTGCAAATATAAAAGAAAACATTGATCAAAAATTTATACGTAGATCGAATATTGATTTACATCACCATGATATAATAATACGTTTTAAGGTCACATGAAAAATGTTTGATGACTATTTCTGGATTTTGGAGCAGGTACCGTGACACCACCTGGAGCCCGATCTACAATTTAATAAACGACAAATCGGACTCTTACTATTTTATTAACAGTGTAACACGGTGTAACATGTGACCTATTTAAATAATGATGATATAGATAACGTCTATCACTACTGCACTATATCGAATTATTCAATTTGATTTAAAGATAACTACTTAAAAAAAGATGCATCAATTTAATTATATATTTATCAGATTATTGATTGATCTAACGATAAAAGATAACTTTACATAATGCGAGGTGTGCATAATCACACAAACCAATAAACACCAGCTTAGGTCATCATGTAAGTGTCAGGAGACTTAAAATTCGATAATGCATAATTATGCATTGTATCGATATACATTAAAATTTTTCTTAACAGTTTAATTTGGCCGGCATTAAAATAATTCCGGCCACGACCAACATAACTCTGCCCGGAACTATGGAGCTATTTTTAAACGGTTAAACGGTTCCAATCCCTAATTTAAACATAACGATAACGATAATGATAAGTATATCGATAATTATGTATATATTGTATGTATATTGTATGTATAATATACACATAATTATCGATATACTTATCGTTATGTTTAAATAATATTTTGATCATGTGAAATTTTAATTAATTAAATGATTGCCATTGCTATTCGATTTATAAATTTCTTTGTATTTATTTTGATAAGAGAAAAACAAAAAATAATTGACGATCATCACTTATAATCTTTTAAAAAATTGAATCTTAAAAGGTTAGGATAATTGCACTAATTTGTCAATAGTGTTTAATTTCACCAGCGTCTTTAAGTTAGTATAAGTCAGAGTTAGGGTATTATGTTGCAAGTGGATTTGGAATTTTGTAGATTCGGAATCAACTTAAATGGATCTCAAATCCAGATTCAACTTAGATGATTTCGGATGAAATATACGATAAGTTACAAGATTGCTGTCTACTTCCGGAACAATGCAAAGATGAATGTAAAATATTTCTTATATAGTTGTTTCTAATATGTGATTATCAATCTTAACTGACGCTAAATAATAACTATACACTGTCAAACTTTATTTCACTTGTCCGTTCTTGATTATATTCAGAATCATTTAAATGGTCCACTTACAACATTTACAACATTACGCATACGTACGTATTGATAAATTGGATCTATAAGTAGAAAATAATTTACATGCATTTCATGCATTTCAAATATAGTAAGTGAAATATTTGCTAATGCATATGTAGTAATGTATTTCTAAAAGAAAATTACCGTCAAGAGTCTAAACATTTTTAAATACTTTAACCAGTCTTGGTCCAAGTTGGGATTTATAAAATATATAAGTGCAAGTTTTTTTTTTAACTAATACTAGTATTAGAGCCCGTCATTAAACGACAGGCTATATTGTAAATAATAAACATAGTATTTAATTATATTACACGAAGAGTGCAAAGGTTGTTGTTATCTTATAGAGGCCCGTTGGATTGTATATGAAAATTATTAGATCTGTATTATATATTATCAAGAACTACAAAATTTCATCACACAAACTATTATATTTTTTTAAGCATGTATATGTATGTACGTATAAAAAGCCCAAGCTGTTTCTGAAATTCGGATAAATTTTGGTACATTTTCACTTATCAATGGGTTGCAAAATAATATCATTAACCGCAAATCAAAACACAATTATTACATAGTAAAATTTTGCTTATGAAAGTGCCTTCTGCGTACTAACAAAAGGTTCTCTTATGTAATTTACTATAACTATCTTGTTAAGCTCAAAGCCAAACTCTATCATACAATACCTTCTAGTACTCTTCTATATTTCCAAATCTATAATATTAAACACATTTAAAAATTCAACTACAACATTACATTTCAACAATTTAACAATCCTAACCTATTGGGCATATTTATCTATATATGAATTCAACAACTTCAAAATAATTTTTAGTCTTCAACTAACATTTTTTTACATTCTGATCTAATTATCAATGATTCTAATTATTTAATTACAAACATTAAAATAATACAACTTATTAAATACATAAATTAGATCTTTTTAACTAATCCAATCTACAACATTTCATATACTCTAAATGATAAAATCATATTTATTAAATTTCATTATTCTCTTATTCAAAATATTTAATTTTTAAAAAACAAATTAGACATTACAATCTTTTTTTTCTGAACTAACTTATTACTTATAATAATTTATGTTTATTATATTAAGAATACATCTCATCTAAACTTAACAAACTTCTTAAAAATATTATATCACAATAGTTTATTATTTTTAAGGATATTACTACAAATCACTCTTACCAATAAACTCTATATAACCATTATAACTTATCTTTTATTAACTATTTTTGTTACTTTATTGATTACTTTTTCTCTAATATCAAATACTAATTATTTATTGTTCTTAATAATTAAATAATTATTAATAAGATCAGAAGATACAATGCTTCTATTGACTTTATTTTTATTATTCACTGATACAGTTTAATCCAGTTCTAGTTTTCTAATCTTTATCTTATTTCTTATTTTATTACTATATTATATACTAAATAACATCTTAATTTAAATATAATTGTCAACAAATATACTATCTTTATTCTTACTAACTTAGTTACTAAACTATTTTATTGTATCAATCTTGACAAAACTCTTAATTTTTATGCAAATTTTCTTAATATTATATATTCTATTATTTTTTGATATTTTTTATATATTTTATCTTCTTCTTTATTAATAATCAACTCATAACAATTATTTTTTATTTTTGAATCATATCAACTTTTTAATAATTTTTAAACTATTACTAATTTAAATACAACTTATCATCTTTTTTATTCTATATTGATGGTTCTGTTATTGATCTTGTACTTCTTAATGCTCTATAAGTATAGATTGGGTTTAAGTTAACAACTTTATGACTATTAACTTACTTTAGATATAAATTAAACTTTGATTATGTTTTTTTAAAACTAAAATTTATGTTATTTTTTTAGTAATTATTATTTTTCCTAGACATTGCTTTGTTTATATATTTACTAAATTATAATCAGTAATTTCTAAATATTATAATATTTATTAATCAGCATCTATTCTTTCTTATACCTATATTTTATATTTTTCTATCTGACAAATTTTTATTAACTTTATTAACTTCTATAACATTTAGTTTATTTTTCACAAAATTACTATATATCAAAATAATTTATTCAATAACTTTGCTGACTAATTTATTCATAATTATCAAATATTATTTTATTTGATATTCTTAATTAATAATTCTTATCTCTTAATCTGTAGGCTTTTCTAGGCAAATTTGTCTAGAAAATTATTAAAAATATGTTTATAATCTACTTTTTTTAAATTTTAAAATATTTAAATAAAATTTTATTTGATAATAT